CTGGTCTACCATTGAGCACTCTGCTTGTAATAATTGCGATAGTTTACTTCAGTTATATATATATATATATATATATATATACACGAGTATTTAAAATATATGTTTACATATGTATTATTAATTACTAATATTATTGTTACAATTGTTATTGTAAAGGTGTACTACACTGAATCTGCAGCACAAGTGTCGGGCTCCCTTGAGTCTGTTGAGTGTGGCACACCATCTTGTGAGGTCAGCAACCTAAAACCATCAACAGATTATGAACTATATGTAGTTGTCGCAAATGGTAAAAAGGAAGGACCACCTAGTGAAACGCAGCGATTCAGCACTCCTGAAGCTCGTAAGTGTTACCATGCTTATGTATTAAGTTGTGTTATTACCTAATATAATACTTAAATAGAAGGTCACAACTCTCTAATGGTGGTGGGGATCACTGTAGTGGTGGTGACCATGCTAGTAGTGGTGGTGGTGGTGATTGTAGTAGTGGTGATTATAGTGGTGGTGATTATAGTGGTGGTGGTGTTAGCGTTTGTGTTGTTCTCAACTCTTAATAATTACAATAATGTGCATTTTTGTAATGTGTTCAACATGTTTATGGATGTTTATATTGACCTTTGACCTTCATCTATGTATGAATTTTAATCTTTTAGCTCCCGGTCAACCATTAAATTTTGAAATTGTAATGCTGTCCAAGAAGATGAAGCTGTTTTGGGCTCCGGCTACCAGAGGAGGGGAAGTTGATTCCTACCAGGTCAAATATAGTCCAAGTAAGGGTTTTTTCAATCACTATTTGCTACATATTAGTACTATAGATTTTTTGTACTTGTTTAGGAAGAAGAAAGTTGGGAAGAATGTAATAAAAGTTTCTTATCTCATTGAGCAAAAAGTTTGTGCTAAATAGTGGAGGAGTCAATATAAATTATAAAATTGAAATTCAGCATTTATTTTGTGTAGAAATTAATGAAGTACCAATAGTGCATATTGTAAAATTCCTCTATCTGCTTTACAGCAAGGAGTGGGATAAATTATTTAAAGTTTTACCAAATAAAAAAAAATGGATACAATACAGCCGGATTTGGGGAACAAGATCTAATAGAGGAAGCAACAAGAAAATCTGGAAGTAAGAGGACAATTTCATTATTCATTATTAAATCAACTGAAGGGAAGTTTTAGTATATCATGTAATCCAAACATCTTCGGAGTAATTATCTGAAAAGTCTGACAAAAAAGTCACAATAAATATGGAGGAATACAAAAAATATATAATGCTATGATTATTTGACATTCAGTTTACTTAATATACACTTTTTCACATGCTTGGTAGCTTGAAGAAGTTGTAAAATTCTTACCAATGTTACCTCCTCTTTATAAATCGTCGCTCACATCACGAACTAACACAATCAAAGTAGATTGTGTTAGTTCGTGAAATCACAGTAGCGCGTCAAAACGAGCGCGTATTGGTTGTCAAGCAATTTTGTATTCTTTACCACACAAAAAGTCCTTAACAACAACAGCGTGTATTTTGACGCGCTTTCTTGATTTCACGAACTAACACAATGTACTTTGATTGTGTTAGTTCGTGATGTGAGCGACGAAATGTATCATCTATGCTTAATCTGTAAAAGCCATCAATTGGAACAATTATTGATGCAATTAAGTTTTTGCTGAATTACAGCTTCTAAAATCTAAATTGATTACCAGCTAATTAAAAGCCCATGCATTATTCTGTTATTACTTTTGTTATCAATAATCTTTTTTCTTCATAAATCTGGAGCATGACATGTTCATAGTTATACTGCCCTCTATAAAATCCAGTTAAACCATTTTGAAGTACATTATAAACAAAGTTTTTAAAATATTCAAATTCATAGCATGGAGCTAAATTTTGATGTTAACGTTACACAAAAACCATCCTTTAAAATGAATTCCCAATTCTTAGTCAGTAGTGAACAAATTGTAAAGTGTTAAACCATTACCCTTGGCAGAGTACAATATTATTTCCACTTCAGGCATTGTAAAGTATTCACCCCTATAAGCATAATGGAAGAATCCTATACCAAGCAGTCAATTAATACTGGGCTCATCTGTGTTATTGTTCTCTCAATTATATTTCTTCTGGCATACATACTTGTCTATTAGTCTAATTTCGGTTGATAGCTTTGCAATAATTTTGCATTTCTCTGTAAGTTTTTTTTTCTATTTTTTTTCTTGTATATATTATTTAATTATTATATAGTTTTAATTTTAGTTGTTATTATTGTTACTGTTTTTATCTTAATTATTAGCTTTGTTGTTTATTTTTATAATTATTAGTGATATTTATATTCATATTATGTTCAAGAGGGGAACAATTTATGCAAGACAAATTCAGTGGACTAAGTCATGCAAAATTGATAATTAGATTTTATCTCTAAAGGGAAACATCATTTTATCATTACTATTATTTTTATCATTAATAAATGAAATAAATAGGTTACAGGCACAATTTTTTTTACACCTTCTACTTTTTGAATAATTAGCATTGTTTTTATATTTATTAGTAATTAATTAATATATTATATCTAATGTATTAATTAATGTAATTTATTTCATGATCATCACCAAAATGGCAAACTGTTCATATAATATACAAATAGATTTGAACTTTCAAAATATATCAAGCAGCTGTAGGCATTGACTGTGGTAGTCTGCTGATGATGTTTACATCTGTCTCTTATACACATCTTAGTGGTGGTGACCATACTAATGGTGGTGATCATAGTGGTTGTGGTAGTGATTGTAGTAGTGGTGGTGATTATAATGGTGGTAGTGTTAGTTTTTGTGTTGTTCTCAACTCTTAATAATACAATTACAATAAAGTGCATTTTTGTAATGTGTTCAACATGTTTATGGATGTTTATATTGACCTTTATCTATGTATGAATTCTGTCTCTTGGTCCAACCAGGCAAGGACGAAGCTGTTATTAGTTGGTCAGACGATCCAATAGGACCAGCAGTAGAGAAACACATTGTGAAATACAGAAAAGCTGGTAAGTTACAGCCAATTAACTCACATATAGATTTTTTTCCAGGGGTGGTGCCAGCGAGAGATGGGGTCCCCCCGTCGCGGAGAAAAAACCACAATTCATCGGGGAGAAAAAAAATGTATTTGTATTTTCTACATAATACTCTAAAATCGATCAAATAAGCCTTCGTCGGGGTCATCGAACCCCCCCCATCAAGCAAACCCTAACACCACCCCTGGCAACCATAACTGGACATGCTTCTTTAATGCTCCTTTCACACTATCATTGTGTTTTATGTAACAAATCTGTGTGATGTGCCCATATATGGGCATGATAATGTCATCTTAAACCCAAATATGGACATATCACATTTACCACATAAGACTTGATAGTGTCAACAGCTTAAGTTGTATTGGGCAGGATGCAATGTTGCAGGCGCCTTTGCCAGAGATGTTGGATGGTCTGAGGCTTAGGCATATATTCATAAATAGATTAATTCAATAATCATTTTATAGGCAATGGTAAATATTATACAAAAAAATCAGATAACATGTATAATGGTCACTCATAATACAGCTTTTATCAATTAAAAACTATATTATATTTGATTGAATATGAATATGATTAATTTGTATGATTATTATCTTTACTGGTACTGGTATAGGCATTTATAATACGCCTCTTCCTTGAGGTTTTAAAGCGCAGTTGTTTTCTCTGATCATTGGGTCCACATGCTAAAACAGCTAGTAATTAGGTCATGAGCAGGTAACTCCACCAGGTACCCATTTATACTCCTGGGTAGAGTGAAGCAATGCAGATAAAGTGCCTTGCTCAAGGACACAAGTGAAATGCACAGCAATCGATTGAAACCCCGACCTTGTGGTTGGGAAACCAAACCTTTCCCGCTGCACCAAACCGCTTCCACTTTATCAAAGTCGAGAAAATCAGATTTCTGTAATAAAAGTCAATGCGTAATGTACTATCCACAGTATTCCTCAATTTGTGATTTCATTTTATAATTAATTGTTGGTTCATGCTAAGCTTTTAAAGTGTTGCTTGCGTTAAAACGTGCAGAAAACAGAGAGAAATAGTGACGAGCACAAATACTTATCTCTCTATCTTGTCAGATGCTTTCTAGATGCGGAATGATTTGTTTGTGTGGAGTTTATTTATCACCTGTTCGTTCAGTTCAGACGTTAATTTACACATTTTAACTGTTCACACTTTCCAGTTAATGTACAGCCATGTCTAAGTAAGATGGAGATTACTTTCACTGAAAGCTTTTTCCCGCTGTCAATTCCGTATTAAAAGCATACAGACATCGACAATCTGTAAAATATGTTGAATGGTGAATATGTTTAGTATTCAAATTGATTTCTGTTTTGAAACAGCCATGTTATATATAGTAACTGAGTTCTGATAGCGTTTGATGTTAAGGTTTACTATTGGCAAGTCTTGATAGCCTTGTATTAAATTACTTAGTCAAGCCATATGGTATTGGAGAATGATTATCATACAATATGCATCATGGAAGTATATAGAATTTAGTCCTTATCCATAATTTAACGTTACTTGTCTGTTTAGCATACATGTATATTTGGATGTGTTGTGAAATGCATTATGGTTACAAAACAGAAACTTATCGCACTATATTGACATCCCGTAATCAATTATATAATATAATTATTAATATAATTATATAATACAGGGTATTAAAAGTGTAATGATATTAATATATACATAAATGCAATTATATAATAACATGTTATATTTTCATTGCGGATTTGTTGGGCTCAGTACGGACTCCAAAAGTATGCATTTTCTTTTAGTTTTAAGGTGTATGCGGATTTTATATGTCCGCAATGACGATGTAACATGTTTAATATAGTGAATCAAATATGTTATAATATTATTAGTCAACTAAACATATATCAAAAACATGGAAACATATAAATAATAAAATGAAATAATAATGAATAATAATAATTGTTATAGTAATGACAATATGTTGATAATAATAATAATAAATATCATAATGATAGTAAATAAAGTTAAAAATATAATGATGGTATATGGAATAACACTGATATACTCCAATTACAGTAAGCTTTTTGAAATTATTTAAATTATGTTAGTCAGTGAACAAATATCTTATTCAGATTGAAATAGGATTAGTGCTTACATGTCAGTTGCCATATTACCATGAATTGGTTTATTAATTCATTAATGGCTGCTGTGTTTAGTTGAGAGGAGAGACTGTTACAATTCACTCTCTAACCTTGGCTTCAGCCCTAAGCTTGTCCCTTGGGTGCATAACTCTGCTTGTAGCATCAGTGCACCAGAAATCGGAGGTTAATCTGTTCAGTGAGGGAAGCCTAATTAATGCATTTCAATGTGTTAATGAGCATCGTTGTTACTATACTTATGCCACACAGCTAGCTAGCTAGCTAGCTAAGCTTGATTAAATCAACACAGAACACAAAAGTGTTGTACTGTAGGTATTACCCTAACATTATCAAAAATTCTCTCTTGTTCTAAATTAAATTGGTATGGGTCTTTATGATCGTAAAATTTCATACAAGCCAAAGTATTAAAAAAAATGTTTATTTGTAATAATAATAATAATAATAATAATAATAATAATAATATTTATAATAATAATATTTATTTGGCAAAGTAATAGTAATATCTTGCCAGGAGCAAGAACTAATCTTGAGCCCAAACAAAAAGTCTTGTTTTCATCCATCATCCATCATCCAATCTATAGATACAGTATAAGTATAAAACTATTAAATTATTTTTAATTTTTTTATTCAGCTTTATGCACTAGGGTCAAGGATATGCCAAGCAGGGAACAAAGTGGTAATCCCATCACAAGACAAACACCCCCCCCCCCACACACACCCCCACACACACACACACACACACACACACACAAGATGCTCTACATATACTAAGTCTCATTATGAGGTTTAAAGAATGTAACAGAAGTTAAAGATAAGAAAACATTTCTAGTTTGCTTAACTGCACATGTGGCAAAGACAAGCCAAACCAGTCACTATTCACAAAAATTGATTTTTAGTTGTTAATACAGTGTTAACAAGTAATTTGACAGCTATAAAATGGTAAAAGAATCATTTAAATCCGACATTTCGTTATGAAGTTACAGGTGTTTAAACGTACCGCTGTTTAAAGAACAATATTTGAGAAATCAGCCTTCAAATTTTGCAATTTCAAGCATTTCTTAGGCAGAATCCATCACAATTGCTGAAAATGTTAATTTTAACATTGAAAATGGGGAAAATAACAGCATTTTAGGCACTTCTTAGGCAGAAACCATCACCAAATTGTTGAAAATGTTTATTTTAAAATTGAAAATTGGGAAAAATAACAGCATAGCATGATATATAGATATATAAAGGTTAGTTTAGTGCAATAAAATTGATTTTAAAAATTTTGACATTCCAGCATATTTTGGCCATATCTCTGAAACAGGATTTGTGAGGAGTGACTGGTTGTCTTGGCCACATATACTGCAATCATTGCTACTACTAGTACATCATGTAAAATATTGATCATTGAAATAGATACCTTAGAAACAGAGAAGAATTCTTTGTTGATTTATGACTTATGCAGTGTGAAATATCTTCCATGTTACTCATGGCTTGAATATCTCTGCATATGTATACCATGTGTTATTAGTTGATGAAGCTGACACCTGGCGGACATCTATTTGCATGTTTGTTGTGTGAGCAAAATAAGCACCTGTGTTTTGTAATAGAAAGCTTTTGGTAGACGGTGGTAGGATGTAGAATATAAGGACATCACTTGAAGTCATCTACGCATGCGAGAATGTTAAGTTCTCTTGTCGCATGGACTCTGGAATTTGACCAAATCTATGCGGTGCAGAGAATGTTCTAGCATCACAATGTCATGCAATTTGAAAACTCCCCAAATATCATCGATGACTACACCATAGATACTACAGAGTAAACCTGAAGAAGTTAGAAAAACTTAACCGGGTTAGCTTAGTGTTCCTAGATTAAAGATTGTTTTTTGGTTCTTTGAAAAAGTGCACTCAAATTAAAGGTGTTTTGGAATTAGAGGGGTCTCAGAAATAGAGGGGTCTCAGAAATAGAGGGGTCTCAGAAATAGAGGGGTCTCAGAAATAGAGGGGTCTCAGAAATAGAAATAGAGGGGTCTCAGAAATAGAGGGGTCTCAGAAATAGAGGGGTCTCAGAAACAGAGGGATCTCAGAAATAGAGGGGTCTCAGAAATAGAGGGGTCTCAGAAATAGAGGGGTCTCAGAAATAGAGGGGTCTCAGAAATAGAGGGGTCTCAGAAATAGAGTGGTCTCAGAAATAGAGGGGTCTCAGAAATAGAGGGGTCTCAGAAATAGAGGGGTCTCAGAAATAGAGGGGTTTTGAATATAAGGGATCTCAAATTGGAGGGTGCACTGCATTATTTTTAAAGTTAATTAGCTTTTAAAACATAGAGAATATATATTGAATAAATTCATTGGATCCGATAACAAGTTAATATATGTATGCATACTGTAAAAAAAATGTCATATCGGCACATATGACTAAGCCTTGCTGAAAGCAGGTTGAAACGTCAAGTCAGTTCTATAAGTTAACACCATTTTTACGGGAACTTGATATTTGGATCATCAAAAAAGAACTTTATACTAACAGACAATTAAGAGAAGTTCTGTAGTTATAATTTTTTGCTATTGCTGTTTCACTAGTGTTTTATCAGGTAAAGATATCAGGTGACAAATTAATTAATATAAACACTCGCAAAGCTTATTTAGTGCCCAAGTACATCACATATATCACCAATTTCAATGTTACTGGTAGTGCTGTGGGTAGTTAAATAGGTAGCATAGTTGGTTCTTAACAACAGAGAGGATTCATTACTATTGTAAATTAATTAAATAATCTGTGTTAATTAATCATGTAATTAAAAGTAAGGGTTGGCCATTTCCATGGACAAGACTGGAAACTATTATATTAGCTTTATTTTGCTTTCGTTTAGAAAAAAATTGAAAAAGTATGCTATTTGATGGGATAATTTAATTAACAAAAAGTGGCAATTTTGAAATGTTGTTAATTTCCTAATTAATATTGGCTTTTTTGTATAAAGACAATTAATTGGCTCACTGATTTTACTCCTAAACATAGCGTGCTACTTTAAATTTTGTTGAAGTAATATTCATAGAGTATATTGATACGGTCTGCATTCTAATAATCTATAAAATACAGACAACAATAGGATCTACCATGCCTTGCCTGATGATAAATATTAATTAATTCTGTTTGCTAACAACTGGTACCATTGATTGATTTGCATTGTGCAGCCCGAGATACAGTAACATTTGATATTGATCCCAACACATCGAGTATATAAATATTCGGTCAATTTCAAAGTGATTCAGATTAAATTCAGTAAATATAAGTAATAATAATGGCGATGTAATAATAATGATGGTAATAATGACAGTAAAATGATGATAATAATGAAGATGATATGCAGTTTTACAGTTGAAAAAGCAGTATCAAATCAAGTTGAAATTTAATCTTTCAGTGTACTTAACTTGTATTACATAATTATTCAATTGGTTTGTTGTAATTTTTTAGTTTTATTTTGCCAATACTATTTTCTGTTTTGCACTTATTCATTGCTCTCCCTTTATTTTATTTGCATTTTATATTTGTTTATGGTTTTTTTTCTTTGCTTTGTTGTTGTTAAGTGCCTCAAGTTTGTTACAATGTGAGGCACTATATAAATCTAGAATTATTATTTATTATTATTATTATACACTTTTTATTCAAAAGGCAATTTTTCATCACTGAAGCCAACATTTGATTTTTTGTTTCTTTTAGAGTATCTATAGAAGGTCAGCCTAAGCTACTCACTCAAATTATACCCTTGGCTTTCCTCCGATGAAAGGCTGGTTCATTAACAATTTGATTTGGCGTAAAGTGGGGGGGTGCTTATACCCGGGGAACTGCGATAATTAATTAATTCCATTTTTAAGCATTCTATGCTCTTCCTATTTATACAGTATGTTTTCATGGATCACCATTACTACTACTTATAAAGATATATGTTAGTTACTTATAAATATATATGTTAGTTACTTATAAATATATATATCTTAGTTACTTATAAATATATATGTTAGTTACTTAGAAATGTATATGTTAGTTACTTATAAATATATATGTTAGTTACTTATAAATATATGTGTTAGTTACATATAAATATTTATGTTAGTTACTTATAAATATATATGTTAGTTACTTAGAAATGTATATGTTAGTTACTTAGAAATGTATATGTTAGTTACTTAGAAATTTATATGTTATTTACTTATAAATATATATGTTAGTTACATATAAATATATGTATCATGAGCTGAGTGGAGCTGACTAATAAACATTTTAATTAGTAGTAGGGTGATCCACAGAAAAAAAAAGTATGTGGAAGATTTGAACCTAAGATCGCATCAGCTGAGTGGAGATAACTAAATTAACATGATACATGAAACCAAATATAACTACAGTTATAGGCTACATGAATATAAAATTAATTTCCCATGTTTCCCATTTTTGAGGGTCATGTAATTTTCATCTCCTTAAATATTCACATCTGTTAAACAGGAAGTTAAATGCTACAACTACATGCAAGTTAGTATTCAGGATATGAATAATTAATTCTTAATATGAAGTTAAATAAAAATACACACAAGTTGATTTCTACAAAGGGCATCTTGATCATAGGCTTAGTACAAAGACACCTTGTGCTAAGTTGATAGACTTGGAAGTAGTGGCATTCAGGTAAACCCTATAGCCAGTGAATACAGAAATCTGGCTATTGTTACAAGGACATTGTGTTGCAAATTTTGATAATGATTACAGATTCAACTTGCTAGGGGCTTTATATTATAGGATCGGTGTTATTACTCTCAGCAGCATTTGTTTTGGTGTAAAGTAGCCACTACCAGCATTTCTGTAAGTATATTATGTATTAGAATAATTTGTCAGTTCCTTGTTTGTACCCTTACCTCCGTAGGCACTATTAAAATCATCAGTCAGTGCTTTAAAGGGTTATTAGTAGGGGGTACGTGTTCAAGGATATATTAGCACATAGATCTAAATTTACATGCAGCGGACAAGGTAGGGAGAGTAGAAACATAATAGTAAAGACTGCAGATTAGGATACAGCAGTAGGAATCCTATTACAATTCAAAACAGAACAAAATCACAATTAAAAATATTCCCTAGTATATGAACTTTATAAGCATGATATTGTAATGCATTGCATACATTACATATTGTTATTATATCATTAGTGTAGTTCATATTTGTAAACATATGCCAGGATCTATATTAACAAGGTTAACATTTGAAAGTATTTTTCATTAAAAGTTATTAATAGCTCTATGCTGTAGATTACCAGACTAATAATGCTTGATTTGTCATTTTATTCATTGTGATTTTAATATCACTGACACCCCCAGAAGACCAGTGTTATCATTGAGTGTTCTACCCTACTAAAACAAAACTGAACCAAAATGTAAACTTTCCCAAGGCAATCCCATTAATTAATATTGATAATGTTCTAGTCCTTCATTGATTTTCACCTTGTTTTATAACATAAAAATCTAGTAATTTTTAATTTACTATAACAAAAATTAAGTATATATAAAAATATGATAAATAAAATATCTTGTTCTAATCCAGAAATTGCGGTAACGTTTCCTTAGTGGAAAAAATTGAAGGATTGTTAACTGCTTGAACTTATACTTCACCTCATTTGAAAGAGCAATGGATTGATTCCCAATTACGTTTTTCTGGATTGTTGATGTTGATAGAAAAATAAGTTGGTTAAATATTAAATACAATTAATGGCCTTGATTACGATATGAGTGTAATCATTAAACACTGACAGGCTGATAGGAGTTGCGTACATTTATTGATCGGTGATTACTGACTTAGTCTGGGAAATTAATCCATCGATCTCAACTTCATTAGCAAATGCATCAAAATATTGAACAATTTGGAATCGGTCCTAAATCATGGGAAAGAACTTTTGGCAACAATTGTCGTGTTATATTAATAGATTTATTAAAGGCCTGACTTATACTTGTTCAATGCAGCCGTAGCATTGTGTAGATATTATGATTTGCTGTACTAGATTTTTATTATGTTTTTTTTTTTATTGTGTGTGTTTTCTTTAGTGTTTTTTTTTATATTTTTATTCTTTTGTTGTTTGGATGTTCTCATGGTATTGTTAGCACAGTATCTATCGTTCATGTAACACACCTTTCATTCTATTATTGATTTATTTACTTTTAAGTCCATATTAAGATAAGATAATATTTTTTTTATATTCAATAAATACAGGAGAATGAATAAAAAAGGAATTTTATATAAGAAAATTATGTATGGTTATTAGTTTTTTTTTTTTTTTTTTTTTTTTTATTTGATCTGTTAACACTAGAAACCAAAAAACTTCATCACACATTTTATTTGTCAAAAATTTTCACTTTAGATTCATCTACGTTCTTGGGCCAATGTCAAATTGGCTGAGGGTAGCGGGTGTGAATATTATGCCTCACTGTGGGCCCACCTGATACTCTATATTTACTGTATATTAAATACAGTTTGTAAAGTCTAACAGTTCTTGTTTTATACTTGATTTAGTTCATCTAAATTCATTGCCACTACAATTGTCCAACTAAATGAAAAGACTCCCTGTCCAATAATTAAGAAAAGCATTATTTAGATTGGGGAATATTACTGAGAAATAACTCTAATTAAATATTATGAACACAAGTAGGACAAAGCTGCATGTGAAGGTTCACATGGAAAATTAGATCTGCCGGGTAATAACACGCAGGTTTTGAGTTGTATTTTAGCCTTGGTCTGATAGCTGTTGTATCTGAAAGAGTTGTCACCCGTGTTGAGTCAAGGGAATTTCTGCAACACCTTTTGAAGATCTTATTCACTTAGCAAAAGCTCAAACTGTGATGCCATTCATTATTTATCAGTTGGTGGCGCTTGCCTACTAAAATAGATGAGCATATTTTTTAGATTCATCTAGCAAGTTACTGACTCACTCTTTGAAGGTTTCCTCTCTTTGGTACAATCAATATTTTTGATCTAATAATAGTTTTTTTTTTTAATTTTTTATATTGACTATCATATTTAGTAGTACCAAAATATATAATTTTTGTGTAAACGTTTACTGTTATGCAAACTTACAATGTTATATATTTATTTCAAAGGAACATTGTTTATTTTTCAATGCTTACATTCTCTATCTATTTTTCTAAATAAAAGAATAAACTATTATGTTACAATATTTGCATTTTTTGTTATTATTAGATTCATATTTATATCTATTACCATTATTGTTTTCATCTCAAGACTGGTAATGCTTTCATTAATAAATATTGTTTTCTTGTTTTATACAGACGGTGAAGATACGGAGTGGATGACCAAAGAAGTCCATGTCTTTTCCAGGAATTCAGGAACTACATTGACAAACCTAGCTCCAGACACAAAGTACGAACTTCAAGTTGTAGCCATGAGTGAAGAGAAGGAGACCGCCGATGGAACTGTAATTATCTTTACCACAAGTGGAACAGGTATGTAACCAATGAAACGCCTACTTCTTCATCTTATTGAATATAGCACCCTCTAGTGGTGAATGAGTAGCTCTCATACTTCAAATTGCTTTCATTTTAGGGATCATATTGAAAACTTCGTCTTGGAAAGATTAATTTTTATTTTGAAACGTTTATTTTCCTTATTACAGATATTTTATGTTTTAATGTTTATGTTAGAAAATCTTTGGTTTTTTTCCCAAGATAAAGGTACTTTTTATGGGTTTGCTTCAGTTAATTAATTCAGTTTTTCCACAGCATAACATTATTACTGTTTTCTTAGATATTTTTAACAAATAATAAGTAATTAGCAATTATACTGAACTTTAAAATATTAAACAAATGCATATTTAACAGTTAATATTGTTTAAATTGTTTTACGTACTAATTAACTAATTTTAATTATGACAATGAAAGTCAAACAGTAGTATTAACTAGTAGTGTAATTATTTGACAAATTCCAATTTAGAATTGACAATTACAGAATCACCAAATCTGGGTAAGTGAAAGGACTCCATGTATGGGAGCATGTATATAGCACATCTACCATGTCAAGCATCTTGAACAGTAGAATCACTGTGTTTATAAAACAACAAGGAACTTCTCTATTTGGTTTGTTGACCATAAAAAATGTTATATAGAGTACTACATCACTAATGCCACGATATCACATGGCCCTCTCCTTCTTTACCAAGTGTTCAGTATTCCTCAATACCTCCGACAGGTAATCTTCTAAAAGCAAAATTCTAACAATTTAATGTACATCAGATAACTAATATCTGTTGATTTTTCTTGTTTTTATTGGTAAGTTTTAAATTGGAAAAGCTGAGAAAAGTGGTGCTTTGCTATTGAGGTAGTACTCAGCTGCAGTAAGAAACAGTGTCATGTGATACCATGATGTCATGATTGTTGTTAATGTTTATATATTTTTCTTATATAACTATATATATATTTTTTCTTATATAACTATATATCTATATATATATATAATTTTTTTGTATTTATATGTGTATGTAATATTCAATGTGAATGCATTTATGTAATACCGTAAAAGCTTGAATAGAAGCCTAATGGATTTAATCTCAAAGCCCATCATTAATTTAAGCCCTCTCTTATGTTTGCAAAAGTAGCCTAAAAAATAAGCCCATCTTGAGATAGGATGGTATACTGTACATGAAGAAAGAAAATAAATTAAAAACATCCTTGGTTTATACAGTAGTTTGTGTTGGTTAATACACTCCATGATACAGACTGATATTACAGTTGCCCTTATTTATTGTTTTATGGTAGTAATTCCCAAAATTTACAGCATTCATTTTGAATGCAAGCCCCCCTCCCTTTTTACTATGCAAAAGATGCCACAAAAAGATGTCCAACTTGAAGCCCATCCATAGGTTGCAAAAAAGAGGCTTGGGGCTTCTATGTCAGGTTTTACTGTATATTGTTTAATAATATTTCTATAAATATGTATAGTTAGATGTAATGTATTTAATATATATACTGTCTCTTATACACATCTAGATGTGTATAAGAGACAGCGCGAAGGTAAGTAAACCAGGATGTAAATTCACTTTATGGTGACACTGCAAAAATACATACTTCAAACCCAAATACAATAATATGAATTTCTTCCCTCATTGAGCATCAGTTTTGAAGCAAAATATAAAATTACATTTTATATTTGCAATTTTCAAGGGCTACCACTTTCCCCCTCACTTCCTTTTTGTCCCATACCTCAATTTGATCTAATTTATATAATATTGTTTTCTTACACTTTGGCAGTGGTATAGACTATTTTTAGGCTTGTACAAAGACGGAAACAATTATTTGTAATAAAATATAATGAATATAAGAAACATAATGGTTAAGAAATTCAACAAGATCCATAATAATACTGCAACAAACCAACTGGAATTATGTATTTGGCCTTCTATGTATTTTCTTGGGTATGTCACAGACCAAACTAATAAATTATCAGCATTAGACAGGTTTTGCTGTAACGTCATCGTTGTATTTTGTGGAAATTATCATGTTGTGCATGTTACTGGTTCATAATTGTATAATTGTTGTATGTTTTTTGTTCTGTGTCTTTTTCTTCAGTTACGGAGCTTCCGGTTCCCACCACCAGTGTAAACTCCGGTATGAAACAAATTCATGTTATTAAAGGGAAAATGGTTGCCAGTGCATGCAAGGATGTTTATATAATTACACACAAAATACTTGTTTGCTGAATTTAATAATTTTATAAAAATTGCGCAATTGAATCAATAAGCTTTCACAAAAATATAATACAACTTAACGTAGCAGGAATTTTGGTTCGTTACAGAGATTTTGACGGACTGGCACTAACAAATGATTATAACTTGGTGAAGGAAATAATAATTTACTATAGGAGTAACAGGAGCGGATCCAGAATTTTTCAAATGGCGGGGGGGGGGGGGGGCGGGGGGGGTGTCACAACAGTTTCAACATAAAAAGGTGAATAACATATGTCGCAAGGACAAGCCAAACCAGTCACTCGTCGGAAAAATCAATTTTTAGTCTTTAATACAGGGTTTAACAGTAAAATGAGAGCTATAAAATGGTAAAAGAATCATTTAAATCCGACACTTCGTCATGAAGTTACATGAGTTTAAACATACAGCTGTTTAAAGAGCAATATTTGAGAAATCAGCCTTTAAAGTTTACGATTTCAGGCATTTCTTAGGCAGAAACCATCACCAAATCGTTAAAAATTGTTGTTTAAACATTAAAAATGAGAAAAATAACAGCATAGCATGATGTATAGATATATAAAAGTTAGTTTAGTGTAATAAAATAGATTTCCAAAATTTTGAAATTTCAGCATATTTTGCCCATTATCTCCAAAACAGGATTGCGGCGAGTGACTGGTTTGGCTTGTCTTTGCCACATATAACACTGATATGCATTGAAATTTTAAAAAAATTCAATGTCAAAACAGGGGGGAGCATGTGCCCCCCCCCCAATACTGGATCCAGCCCTGAGTAACCCTCTGCAAATTGTAAGCCTATCCTCATGTTCTGGCTTTTAATACACAGTTACTGTGGAGCTCAGTATAACAAAAACAGTCATTCTTATTCAGTTGTTAGGTTGACCTAATTAATTTAATAGAACCGACAGCTAAAGGTAAACTTGTGGTTATGAAGCACAAGCCAAGTCTCAATTATTAGGAAAACAGTGGCAGGCATAAAATTGATAATCATTCAGGGACCACACGCATTACAATAGTACAGTTTGCAAACAAACAAACACAAATATTACAGATTACAACAATTAAACACAAAACATACCAAAAGTTATTAGGTCTTTATATACTATAGATGCATCCATGCCAATATAATTTATTGACTTTTCACATACTGGGCCAGACTATTATCGGCACACATAACTAAATTGATTAATGATTTTACATCTACAGAATCAATAGGTAACTACTAACATTAATTATCATATCAAACTATATGCCTAGACCACTTTTATTAAATAGCAATAAATATAATTTATTATTAAATAAAAAATCTATTATAAAACATCCATAGTTACTATAATTGTTAAATAATTTTTTATTTTTAAAGAATTAGGAGCCTATCCTCTTACCTGTATCTATTTATCTATATTAAAATATTAAATAATAATTATGTTAAGTTATATAGCGATAATATTTGTTTAATTCATAGAATAATATTTGATTAGTTACTTATCTTTTAATACAATGACAGATTCGCCAGTGAAAACTGCCATTCGACCCGGTGAGTTTATCTTCTGAAATAGAGGGTGCTGTAGTTAACATTTATGCTTCTGCTAGCAATATGCCTTTGTTCTGTTGAATTTGTTTTGGTGTGGAAATTGACCTGGACTGGACTGCAAGGTGTGGATAAATTGCCTTCAAACCTCCTATTCAAGCAGATAGGATCTAATACTTTTGCGCACAAACCTCTTCAGAATTGCAAGACAATAATTTTCCTAATAGCAGGTGTCAAGCAGTATTATGAAATATTAATTAATGTAATTCTCAAAATACTGCTGCAGAAAAACATGTTAAAATGGCTAATGTAGTTGTCAACAGACGGTCATATTAATGGGCTTATCGGTAACTTAGCAGTCAAGTAACTTGTGGAGTAAACTGTATCATGGCAGTCATATCATGAAGGGCTTTATTTCAAATTCCGGAATGTATAACACTGGTAGTCAAATAGATAGCACTTGAGGTCTTACGGGTTTTTTTTTTTTTTGTTTTTTTTTAAAATATATGTTAGTTTCAGGACCAGTGGCGGACTGTAGGTAAATTGCAGGGTATGCTGGGTATTGGCATATCTAGGATGTGCAAGGGGCGCGCACGTCCCACCCCCTACCCCTGAAAAAAAATACTCGTCCACACCTCAGTCGCGCTCCCGCCCACAAATCATACTCAAGTAGTTAAAAATTTACCTCATATCACCTTAGTTTGCGAGTTATCCCCTAACCTATTCACCAATCCCCCACTTTACCTTCCTGTGCCCATCAGCTCCCTTCCATTTCAAGACCTCTACGCCACTGATGCTAGGGCCTCTAGTGATAGTAAAAATTTGTAAGCCTACTACTTATACAGAATCAGATTGCGTTCTATGTCAAAATACAATGTATGTTATTTTTAATTTTAATACCGACATGGTTGTCTTCTCTTCAAAAGAATTCTTATTCCTGTATTTTAACAAATTTCAATTCAAATAATAATAATTCAAAGTTTCTTCTACACCGGTCATATGTACGTAAATATATTTAAACTTTAATCATTCAGATTAGGCTTATAGATAGAATACCCGATCGGCAGTGGAGGTCCCGATTTGTGAGAAGAAGAGCATGCACACACTCTTGGAAGCGCCGCTTCCATTCCAGTGTTAAATTCGCTATTCTGACGCCACCACACGGTTGTCATAATAGCAAATTTAAGTGTAGGGTATGCTCTGACTTCCATTGACTCACTGAATACGTGATTGGTTGATATCGAAGACCAGCCATGCGGAAATTCTAAGCAGCTAGAGTACGATGCGATAGGCCCGACTGTGACATTATCCTAGTTACCAAAGTAGGCCAAACATTGAAAAACTTTGCTATTCCAATGAACTGTATCATTCCACTCGAAAAATTAAGGTGTATATAGAAGATCCTGACTAAGAAATGCTAAATAAACAGAGAAACTGTACTACTATATTTTTTATTTTATTTGTTTTAGCCAGGGTATGCACTGCATACCTTGCTTGCCTTGATGGTCCGCCACTGTTCAGGACCAAGTTACTACTAAGATAACAAGATCGATTCATTATCGTTTTCATAAGCTTGCGAAAACTCTCTAATACCTGAGACAACGCTCCTAAGACAATGTTACAATACCGTACATACAAAATGGAATGCTCTCTGATTATGGTGGTGAATGTACTATTAAATTAACTAATAGTTTTTGTTTTGGTGGTTTGCTTTAATTTATTTTCTAATGTGCTTGCATTATTAACTGCACTCTGTAATCATGTTGTTATTTTTTTTAATGTTATTATTAATGTTTTATTGTTGGAAAAGTAACTTGAATTTTGATGATAATTTTAACATCAAACAACATACATCATGTATTCAAAAATGTCGATCATATATTGGCATAAACAATAACAATTTAACTGCATCAAATTTTGTCATGTTAATAACTTAGTTCATTACATAGTAATTTGTTACTTTTTCTTAAATTTATCATTTTGTATTTTTTTAAATTTTGTTATTAGTATTTTTAATTATGTTTGTATTAGTTTACTTTCATGATTCAAAAAAAATGTGTAGTTTAAATAACATATGCAAAGGGCAGATATCCAAGCATCTTTTTATGATTATCATTTCATCATTATCCCAAGTTAATTAACATGTTAATTATACCATGTTAATTAGCTGGGTTGTCCTGCACTGAGAGTTATTAAGTTCACTGTCGGTAATGACTATGTTCCTTGATGGGATATGGTTGATAAGTTAACAGAATGGGTAACCGTAATAAAACTCAGCAGCCAAAGTTACTTGTGGAATACTGTATATTATAACAGGGCAGCATATCTATCAAAAAAGTCCTTTTAGTTGCAAAGTTTAAATTGTGAAATGTATTCTGGTAGTCAAATTCTTAGCCCATGTTTCTTAATAAATTAATAAATTAAAATATAGATACTGTTTATCAAAATGTTAGCAACGTTGTTTATGTTGTAGTGTAATGTTTAACTCTTTTTGTCTCTCTTGTTGCTATTTGATTAAAAATGCAGGTTCAACGCCAGTGGCTGGTGAGTGTCATGTTTAGTACTGTATAGTTTTTTGCTTTTTTTTTGCTGTGTTTTATGTGTTCACCTAATATTTTATTTACTACCGGTATCTATATTTAAGTTCAAGTGAAGATCACTTGAAAACCAATGAGGGTTTTCAGCCACCAGTGGAAGTGGGTCTATGGCATTGAATATTGTTTAGTAATTCTACATATGATTCTATATGTTGTTGTTTATATCATTTAATGCACTTTTTTAAGTTTGTTTTAAATACAGTATTAATTATATTAATTTACAGGGACTGCACCAAGAATTTTTTTTTTTTTCTTTGCATTATTAATTGATTAACTTTGATTTATTTGTTCCTTTTTTACAGTTATATTGCACATACATCTGTACTTGTATATTGTTCTTTTGGATATATTTACATAAAGTAATTAACATAGTGACTAGGATATAGGCAGATGCTCGCTAACTCCCCCTCTCCCTCAGACATGCATGGACCCCTGTCATTGGGCAAAACATGTTTGCCGATCCAACCAAAATTAGTGCGATTGTTGCTCCTAATATTGTGGTTTAAAGGCTAAGTTTTCATCATTGTTAATTATAAAATTCCTCTTCCCCTAAAACCCTGGCCAGACTATCAAATTTGATTTAACAAAAACATGTGACAAAACATGCCTAAATATGGTGATGATGACATCACACCATTACCATATATAGGCAAATCATAACTATTTATGGGCATACAACAGTTTTTTTTTGTTAAAGGAAAAATTTGATAGTCTGGACAGGGCTTTTACCAGGTCTTCGATATTGTTGTTATGGTAACATAAATGTTTATATTTTTATTATTACCATACGTACACCGACATCTGTATTTTACAATATTTTTATTCATACTTTCCTTTGTGTACGTATAAATGCATGTTGTGGTGAAGCATAATTGCACAGTTTAACACATAAAATAACTTTGATTTTCTTTAAATCTTTATTTTTAAAATAATTATTTCATCTCTTTAGAAATTCTTTTTGCAAAATGTGATTTTAAAACTTGAAATAGTATAAGCATGTCGCTTTTAGCCAAAAGATTTGTTTACTATTTTAATGTGAACGCTGCTGAAGCTTTATTGAAATATATATTTCAGAATATATATTTATATATTTTTGGTGGTGTATTTTCTTGCTATGTGTCTTTATTTACTCTTTTTAGCAGGAGTTATTATTCTAACAGCAAATGATGAGCGATGAAGATGAACGATTCATTCCCTCATCCAGATAAACCACTGTGCATATTATATGATGGCTATACACCATTTCCCTCACTCTGATAAACCACTGCATATTAAGATTATGACTACAACTATGTGTAGACAATCTGGAATATACTAGATAGTTGCAGTTGTTAAGTTTTGGACTGTTCCATTATTTTTACAGGTGCAGTAAAAGATTCTGGTGGTTTTGTGGTGGAACCATGGCTGATTATCATGATCTGTATTATTCTTCTTCTGTTGATTATATTGCTCATCCTGTGTTATGTCAGAAGTCAGAAAGGTGGAAAATACAATGGTAAGTCACTCAGGCCTACATTCATTATACTGTAATATAGAAACTTTTATGTGCCCTGTAACCCAATGAGATACTGGTACAGGAATTTTTAGTGTGCCTCTTCCTTGAGGTTATAACATTGGGTCCACATGCTTTATGAGTTGCTGCTTTTAATTAGCACAGGAGAAGGCAACCCCACCTGGTGCTCCTTTATACTCCTGGGGGGAGAGAAGCAATACAAATAAAGTGCCCTGCTTAAGGACACAAGTGAAATGCACAGCTAGGGATTGAAACCAGTATTGAAACCCCGACTAAACCATTCCCGCTGTGCTAACCGCTTCCAGGGACCCTTGTAGGTACTCTCCATCTGGATCAGGAGAATCCCAGGCCCGGGATTTATCAATCTCAGCTTAGCAAATGTCTTAGGTCAAAAAAGTTAAGATGTCCCTAATAAATATCTTAAGCTGATTTATTACCCAATCTTAGCAAAATCTTGGCTTAAAAATCGTCTTAGGTGGCACTTCCATACAATTCCTAATTTTAAGCAATATTGATAAATTTGACTTAAGCAAAAAAATCTGGCCCCTGATGATTTGCAAGGTCACTTATTCCCCTGATAATCTGCCAGAGTAAACTGTACCTTGTGTACAACAAAATCTAAATGACTAGTTACGTAAGGTTTATGTATATATCCAAGAAAAGCAAGATTGCCATTTTTCATGATGCATTACAAGCCTGGTTTCCATAAATTCACCACACACTATCGTCTGCTTCTTTCGACTTTGCTAATTGGTTGGTCAAATTGGGAGCTTCCAAAATTGTGTCAAAGAGCTACGCAGTTGAACGATTACTGTAAAAAACGCTCTTGTGACATTATAGCAATTTTATGGAAACCAGGTTTTATAAAAGAAATAATATAACTTCTGTTCTCACCTCAGTATGTATGATGTATATTAACCTTATAAACAATTACAGTAATAATTATACTCGGTATTTAGTGTAGAGAACTGCAATGAAATGCTAATAAATTAATATGTATTGTCATAAATTTTTCCACTTTTGCCTAGTGTCTGATAAGGAGGATAAATTGAGGGGTGATCCTGAGTCTGCGCCTCTGAAAGATGATGAAGGGGGCTTTGAAGAGTACAAACCAAAGTAAGTTGTCTTGATGCGAGGCTGTCTTTCGCTGGTAGACTGAACAGGTTTTAAAAACAATTTCTTGCGCATGCCTCGTTGCGTTGAGTCCTTCATATATTTATGCCGGCTGGCAACCGTATGTATATTGTCCCAGGCTCAAGCAAACAGAATTTTGAGAATGGAAAAAATACCAATAATCTTAGGCCAAATAAAAAAAATTACTAGTTTCTCATTCCCTCGCGGATCCATTTTTTCTGCCTCATTTTTTTTTTCCCCTTTATCTTACAAAATGTACAAAAATCTGGCTAACTCGAATCAGTAAACTTCCTTCGATCATTCGTGGTTGAGGATACAATGGGTTTATTCATGTTTAGTGCTTCTTTTATTTTGTTTCCCATCGACCATCTTGAATTTGCCATCTCGGAGTCAAAAAAGAATGTGCCCTCATTCTCATTTTTTCTAAATATTAGACTAGAAACTGCTTTTTTTTTTACTTAAACTTATATGTTATTTTATTTTTTTCGGGGGGTTGCTCCTTGCTGTAATCATCGCTGCCATCATTAATATTATTTTTTGTCTTAGCCATTTCACCAAATGTAAACATTTAAAAATTCATAAAGATATTAAACAATAACAGCCTTTGTCTAAAAATAAAGTTAGACTGATGAATAAATAATTCAAAAAACAACACTGTATACAGGGTTGTAGCTAATGAAAACTAAGGGTGGGGATAGATATTTTAAGGGTGGGTGCGTGATAACATTGGTAAACTCTAGATAATACAAGTGGATTTTAAGGATGGAAAAGTGGGTTAATAAAGGTGGGTGGAAGGCCATGAAATTAGCTTTAGACTGGGTGGAAAACATCAAGGCTGGGTGGCTCTGCCCACTATAACTACATCCCTGTGTATATATGTAATAATTATATTATATGTATTATTTACAGGGGTCCTGAGAACAGCCAGCCATTGCCGGAACCGGTGGAGGAAGAGAGTAGCGATGAGGATAGCTTAGCCGGTTATGCAGACGGCATCACCGGTAATTTTGATGAAGACGGCTCTTTTATTGGACAGTATAGTGACAAGAGGAAGAAAGCAGAAGAAGCAGCGGAAAATAATGCAATGCAGAGTCTGGTCTGATGACGACTACCGTAGTTGTATAGAAGGCTATGTTATAATTTGAACTTACTGTTTATTTGGATCAAAGTTTACAGCGGTCTGGCTTCGGCATTTAGATTTCTGTTGGACAATTTTGTTTGAGTTACTGCAAGAATTTGAACTGACATATCTGGAAAGAGTTTATGCGATTTTTTGTTTATATTTGAAGTTTGAAAACGTTTGTGAGGTTGTTGTAATTTTTAAGGATAAGATCATGTTTGAATGCTTTTACCATTAAACAGTATGTAGGTATGTACAGTGTTACACTTCATCCAAAGTTTGTTAAGCGAGTTTCTTTGCTCTCCAAGTTTATGGAAATGAGTTTTTGTTAGTGATATTGGATTTGCCAAAACTTTTAATTTGCATATACTGATAATTATTTATTGAAGTGTGATTTTATTTACCTGTAAACAGTTTTATGTTTGTTTTGTGTGGTGAGATGAAGAATAGATAAAGACCAAGATGTAGTCACAAGTAGGCATATATTTCAAGATGATTGTTGAATTAATCTTGAATTTGTGCCTTATTAAGAAATCTAAAGTCTCATGCACTTTACTTGATAGTGCAGATATATTAACAGTGTGTGCTCCATACATACATACATGGTATAAGTAATGAAATAAAAAGGGGTCTTAATGGAAACCTCAATAAGATACATAACGGAGTGGAGCTGTAAATTGGTGGTTAACATTCTTGCCTTCCAGTCTCTTGAGTCCTGAGTTAAAATTCTACCAAAACCAGGGTTTTTCTGAGAACTAAAAATAACTTTGCTCCTACGCTTGATTAAACATAGTTTATAGAGCATTCACGTCCATCCTGTGAGTGGCGAGAAATTCGCTATTGAATGAAAATGAAATATGAATAATCCATCCCAGAAGATAAATATTTAGATATTTGTCTTTTTCTAAATAATATTAACAAAATGGGATGATGATTTGTCTTTTATTGTATAATCCCATAGCATTAGCTATATTATTTAAACTTGGTCCATTCCCATTGGAAACAATTTTTGGTATTTCAATCTCTTGGGGTTTAACATTCCAAGAAGTTTCAAATTCTGTAAATGAATTTATGAATTCTCTTTCATTTTCATCTAAATGCAATGACATGTGTCCAGAAAAGCTAACATGCTGTAACGCTACTAGAAATGAATGATTTGCACTAAATGAAGTTGCATCCAAACTCTTTATAATGCACATATTTTATTTTAGTTGTTATTTTAATTCAAACTTTTTAAAGATTTTTTTTTTTTAATTCTTAATTAAGTTAAATATAAAATAACATTTTAGAAGCAACTTGAAGTGTAGATATGGCAATTTTGTATGATAGTTTTAAATATAAATTACTATTTTAGTTGATGAATAAATTAAATGTTTTAAGCTATGATGTATTGATGGTGATACCATTATTTTAATGAGGGAAACCTTTTTAAAAAATTCATATACTTGTACAAAATTTCTTATATAAAAATGATCTCTTGTTTATTATATTACCATGATATTTGGATCCATAAGAAATTTCCTTTTGTTCACAATACATATATTATATAAATATATATATATATAATCATCATATAAATATATATTATATAAATATATCTTATTTCATGGGAAATTATTTTGTATTTATTTAAACTACATTGATTGCTTGTTAAAATGTTTATTGTGATATGTGTAATCAATAATGTTAGGACTCCTAGCATAGTTTTAATCTTTCCTCCATCCCATTAACCTAAAAATAATCACCAAATTGTTATATTATCATATGTCCATATTTGTGTGTCATATGTCTTCATGCCAATATATAGGCAAATTTTTCACATAAAATTTAATATTGTGGATAGTGCTTTACCTAGAAAAGTATAACCAAATTATTTTTCTAAATTATTGAGACATTTGAAATTTGAACCCTCTAAGGACAATTGAAAATATAATGATGAGACTAGAAGTACAGACTGTAAGATAAGTACAGAATATAAGATAAGTGAATTGCTTTCGCTTTCAATGTAGAATCTTATGTGAAGATTGGCATCCTTTATCTGCAAGGGTTACCCTCACAATATTTTGTTCAAAGAAAAAGACATGATGTCCCAGAAAGTGACCTTTCATGAGGTGGCACTAGACAGACCAATCTTATTTGTTGATTACAGGTCAAGCATTTTATCCTCTAAAAAGATATTGAATTAAGTATTTGATAGCTTGTAAAATCCATGCCCCATGCTTTTTTTAACCACTGCACCTAACTTCACCATTTATTATGATGAAATATAACTTCTTATAACTAATTAAGTTCTGCCAATTCACATTGTATGAATTATGTACACAATAAATGTTGTAATACCAGAGTTGATACAATACTTGCGTCATTTTAGATAGTAACAGTTGTATATATTGCAATTATACACAATTATGAAGACCACTTGATGTCCAATGGTAATAATCATAATAACAATTAATTGCTTTGTAGAATTGTTTGTAGGATATACAATTATAATGGATTGTGTGTATTGATTTATTTATAGGCCACACGCATTCGTTGTTATACCAAAGTGTTTCAAAAGTTTATCGAAAAATTTATAAAAGTGGAATATGTTTATTTTGTAGAATAGAACCGTAATGTATAGAGATTTGATTTGAAAATGAATGAAAACCTTGTGATAGGTGGAACCTAATAAGTATTGGCAGTGGCGTAACGCCTATATGAGCTGTCACTGGCCAAGCTCACGGGCCCTGGACCATAAGGGGCCAAGGATATTATATGCCATTTTCCACTAGGGCCTTGTGCAGTCCCCAGGGTAAGAAGACCTGAAGAAGCTTTAGTCAGTGCTCTGTTACACCACTCAATATTGGAGGCTAATGGTCATCTGTTTGTTCAACTTTTCTATCTGCGTGTCCATTCCGTAAGACTTGTTTCAAAGAAGGCAGGAAGAAATTTACAATTGAACTATTATTATAAGAAAGCATTCGAAATATTACTTTTGGTCAATATCATTGGTAGTATTTTTGGAAGTATGTTTCAGAAAAATAAACATTCTGAATTTTATGGACATTTAATTGGACGTTGCAAGTGGTAAGGTTTGTAGTGTAATTTTCTCTTGTTTTTCATTAATTATTTAAGAGTATTGTTATAATCTTTCTTGGTCACATTTCCATGTATTTACAATGTTAATTCCTACTCGACAGCATGCTATATGTGATTCTTAATCCAACTCTCATTAACTACTGTAAAATGTAATTGCTCAAGTTTTTCTAGACATATATTGATGTCAAAGATAAACAGTTTAGAAAACTATATTTGCACGGCAAAGAGTATTATTGGAAAAATAGTAACTGTCATTAAACTTTCTCATTTATTAAAATTAATAAAACCCTCCAAAAAACAATTAGGCAAATATGCACTTGGAAGTTCATTTAAAATGCAAATAATATAATTTTCTGTATTACAAAAAAAAAATTGAATTAAAACACATTTTAGTTGCTGGTTTCAAAATGATGTAGATATTTACTAAAGCAATTAACTACTAAATCCAGGGGTTGTGAACAAAGAATTTTTCTGAAAGAAGTATATTTTCCTAGATTTTTGAAAGTAATAACTCTGTTAACTTACTGCCGAATTTTACATATGAAAGACAAAATATTTGAGGACACGATGCATTTTTGACGATACTCTTCGCCAGTACAAGCTACACTTAAACCTCAGTCTCAATGATTATAACATTTATGAGATATTAAGTGTTTATAACTCCTATATACATTTATAGTACATGTTGTTAGTATTCGAAAAAATGTTCTTGAATAAAATAAGTGTGTTGGTAATAATTTATTGTATTTGTTTTATTGAGTTTTCCCAGTGTGTTATCCAATTTTATTGTGAGTAGAAAACTACTTACAATATTATTATTTCAGACCCTACTGCAGCATTCAAATATTTTTGAAGTTTGGAAGACTTGAATCACTTGAAGACAGCCCTTAGTCAGCATCTATCCAATAATACCTTCTACCAAGCTTCTACTATGAGACTCTGCATATGTATCATGTATCATAATTTCAACTATATGTAGGTGCTTTATTCAAATTTGAATTCCCAACAAAGCCTCAATGGCTCAGTCCCAGTTTCAAATCCTGGATGAGCAACTTTTTTTTAGCACTCGCCACTCGCAGATTGCTTTTCTTTTAATATATAGCATTATCACAAGATGGTTTGGAGTTCATTTCTATTTTTAATTTTTCTATAATATATATATATATAATATATATATAAATCAAATTAGCCGTTAACACTGTTAAATAATATATAAATCATCAAAGAAAGGTAAATACAGTGTTCGAATAAAGGACTTAATAAATACATCTTGAAGCATAGGTCTCAACGAATGTAGTCCTGTAAATAAATGAATAAATTGTGTAATAAAATGCCTCTGATGGGACTCAAACCTGCGACCTCTCGCTGTCAAGGCAAGTGTCATAAC